CCCTCCTGTTCCTCTCAATAGCTTCTGACTTTGGGTTTGTTTTGGTTTTTTTCTTTTTTAGCCAAATTCAGCACTCGGGAGCCCCTGTTTCGCTGAAAAACAGTAAAACAAGCGCTCCGGTTAAGGGGGTGATGTAGTTTGACTTTATTTACACTTTTAAGCTTAGATAGGCTACCTAAGAACGCACCAATTGCAAGGAGAACTTGTGAACGCCTAACCTGCATTCCTAACGGATGCGCTTAAACGGGGTTTTAAAACGGGGCTACTGGAATTATTTCTTTCTAGGTGTTCAGTTGCTCACACCTGCTGAATCGGCTGTAAAATGTCACTTAATCAAGCGTGAGTTCTATTTAATTTGGCTTCAGTATAACACCGTTTTCTGAACTGTGTTAGGCAGTATTCAAGACTTAAATTTAGACCTGTGTTCGTTAATATTGAGCTGAATGTCACATGTAAGTTTCCATCCTCTCTATTTTTTTTCCTTCTAAAGGGGATATAATTTGCCATCATCATAGTCTAATTATGTAGATCATCCCAACAAGGTCAGTAATGCTACTCAGCATTTCTCATTACTGAAAATTCTCACTTCCCGCTAATTACAGGAATCTTATGAGGAGTCAAGAGCTTTTTTTTATTTTCACACTCTGCCTTTGACGTTCCTTCAGCGTTTTCACAGAAGAGCTAATTCAGACTTGCACCCTGTCTGCATCCTTTTTCTGATGTTAACTACCTTCTTGAGGTGGCTGGCCTCTAGCTGACAATCTGCTGATAATCTCTCTTCTTTCCTAAGGAGAGATGGTCAAGTGCTCCATGTAATCAAACCCTTTATCATTATGTCAGCTGTATCCCCAGCTGTCAGTCTTTAAAATTTTATATATAAAATATAGATATAAAATTCGATACCTTCCTTTACTTGGACTATAGGACTATAAGATCTCTAAAGTACACCTGGGTTGAAATTGGAGCCTTGCAGTCCTGCCCAATCTTGCAGTTATGTCTCTTAATTAGGACAAAGAAAGGCAGCATAACTTCCCATGGGTAAGTTTTCTGCCTGTGCTTTTGAAAGTTGTTACAAAGTGGTTCTGAACACTTAGGAACACTGAAAATCTTTTCACCAAGTGAGCAACCTTCAAACTGAGTAGCCCCATCTAATCCATCCTCAGTGGCTTTCTCTTTCCTCCAGAGACAGCTGATAGCACCTTCTTTGAGTATCTGATAACCTGATACTTCTAACGGGGTTGAATTCCTTTTTTGCTTTCTGGCCCAAGTTTCCAGTCTGTTTCTTTGGTTTCTGCTTTCCCTGGTTTGCTAATAAGGGATTCTCCTTCTTGTAGTATCCCTGGCGTTGATTTCTAGAACTAATTTTCAAAAAGGTTCTCGTGAAAGGAATGCTGAAACCTTGTTTCAGAGCATTGACTGCTCTCTTCACTTTAGCTGCTGACTTGCACTTGATCCAAAATACTGGAGATACTTCAGGCACCTCAGAGTAATTGTTCTGTAATCCTCTGCGCCTGCCAGCTGGTTTAGGTATGTTTCTATCACAAGAAAAGAGCAATGCTCTCTAAACCGCGAGCTTTTTATCTTCTTGGCAATTAACTTGAGTGTCACTGCTTCACCCCTTCCCTTCCACCCTGCCAGTAACTGGCTTTCACCAGACCCTTTGGTGATCTCAGCAGAACCGAGACAGCAAAAAGCAAACTACAGAAATCCTATTTTAAACTCTGGGGTTTGGTTGGTTTTTTTTTTTGCTAGTCCAGCTCAAGGAACTGGCCTCCTCTGGGTCACTCAAGTGTCAGCCCTAACATAAGGGTGGGGGTGCACTGACAGTAACTCCAATTTAGATTATTTTAGGCTAAACTGGATCTCTTCCTTAAGAGGAATCCCACTTCTATCCACTAAATTAAATCCAATGAAACTTCAAACCCAGACTGAACAAAAAACTAGGGTCTGTTGAGCTGTGTATCGGAAGACACGGGCTTAAACTGTAGGACCACATTCGCGGTGTACAAAATTGCTATTCCCTAGCCCTAAGGTAGCAGGTCGTCTCCTAACCAGTTAAGCCAGCAGCTTTTACTTCCCTCCTTCTGGTTCTGATGCTTACCTGAGCACCAAGTTGGCTCAACTTGCTAATCTGGCAAAAAACTAACCGGGTTCCAAAGAAAAAGGTGCTAACAGGTTCCTGCTTGTTCAGGGAGTTTAACAGGCTCAGTGGGGCACCTGCCGCAGCAGCTTGTGGCCGGGTCACTGAGGAGATGGAGGGGAAGCAGGTCCTGTCCTTCCCTCGCAGTGTCTGGGGGTGAGGACCAGACGCTTCAGAACACATCATCTCACTTCCAGTAATCAAAATATTTTTGTAATCTGGAACAAATCAAAGTTCAGTTTCTTGTTTCAAGTGAAAGAATGTCAGTGTTCTAAAGGGAATGATCAATTTCTAAAAATCTCAAATTTTTCAAGTAATTAAGAAACCTTTTCCAGCACAATTTCACTGGTATATATTAATTATCCATCTTTTTCACATGACATCTTCAGGAAATCATCGTTCTTGTCACCCCTGCTTTTTATACTTGCAGTGAAAGGCTTCTGGCAGATGCAGTGGTAAAAGCCTTCCAGTTAGGAATATAAAAACTAACTTTTATGACTGTAGGGGCAGATGCACGTGTCCTTGTTTTTCTTTTGTCGTGACTACACAGAAGTTTAAATATCCTACCATGCCAAGAAACCTAAACAGTGTTCCTGTTGGCCAGTGTCTGTGTACTTTAGATACCTGCCAGAAAGCAAACATCCGTAGCTTTTAGCAGTTATTAGATTGTGGCTTGACAGAAAGTGGTAGTCGCATGTACTGGCTCAGGGTCTTTCAGATGGCTTGTTACTCGTGCTTGTTAGTTGGTTTACATATTTTTGTTGTAGAGAGAGAATTGTTAGGTTTATTTTCAAGTGTTAACTGTGAGTGCCTCATAGTTAAGAGGAGGAAAATGGATCTAAACATCTTCTTAGTGTACAAAAATTCCCCAAGTCTGACAGCTCATTTAGGATTAAAGCATAATTTGTTTCATGGAACAAATCTAGATTAAGGCAGTTTACAGAACTGACTTAAGGCACTTAAAATGAATGGTGGCCAGGACCAAACCAGAGTGCTTCACTGAGGATGGTAACTGTAAAAGAAATGCTAGTGAATGGCATGTAGGTGAGGCCAGAGAGCACGAACACGAAATTAGTCTCCTCAAAGGAATAGGGTTGTGCGGTGACAAGTGACATCTTTTGATGCCTTCCCCCCCCCCCCCCCTTTTTTTTTCTTGTTAGGTCGTTGCTGACAGCGAAAGACTCCCTCTCAAAGCTGTTTAAATGAGAATGTCCCTGGCGCAAAGAGTACTACTGACATGGCTTTTCACGTTACTCTTCCTGATCATGCTGGTGCTAAAGTTGGATGAGAAAGCACCATGGAACTGGTTCCTCATTTTTATTCCAGTCTGGATATTTGATACTATTCTTCTAGTTATGTTAATTGTAAAAATGGCTGGACGGTGCAAGTCTGGCTTCGACCCTCGCAACGGCTCCCAAAACATCAAGAAAAAAGCCTGGTATCTCATTGCAATGCTGCTTAAGTTAGCCTTCTGCCTCGCCCTCTGCGCTAAACTGCAACAATTTACTACAATGAAACTAGCCTATGTATTTATCCCTTTGTGGGCCTTGCTTATCGGGGGTATGGTTGAACTTGGATACAATATCTTCTATGTGCGAAGAGACTAAGCTATACTATGTGGTTTTCAACACTGAGATTGGTACCAAACTACTGGATTATTATAGTTTTGCCACAAACTTCATCTTCAAATTAGAAGGCCAAATAAGGAATCGGTCAAACGGGAGACTTCATCTAAACCAGGCTGAAGACTGAAAGTAGCCCTGTTCCATTTTTTATTTTAAAACTGCCCTGTATGCTCTTGTAAATAAAAGTATTTGTTCAACGTAAGCTGTTCAAAGATGGTTATCATGTTGTTTGTTACATGGAATAAGATAGAGGCTCTTTGCTTGCAGGTAGAATGTCTTCTGAAAGGAACCACAACTGTTCTACCCCAGAGTGTTCAGCACATTGGGTAAGCCTTGGAAAGGGGACTTAAGTTTTCTACTCCTGACGCCATCACTCAAGAAATAACTGGTTAACAGTAGTAATTTCTGTAACACGCTAAATTCACTTTAAGAATCAGTAACAATTGATAGCTGCTAAGTAAGAGCAAAAAAGGAATAGAAATACTTGGCATTTTCTTGTTGACAGCAAAAATCCACTTCCATTCGGAAAGACTTAAGCCCTTTTTAAGCCGCTGAAATGGATACTAACCAGTACGATCACCCAGGGAAGAAAGTGAGCAGCTGATCTGTGCCAGCAGTCCCGAGATGCAGGGAAGAGGGAGACAAGGGTGATTACCTGTCCAAGTGTAGAAATGGCTGGTGCTGTAACAGACTGGAGCTCCAGGGCTGCCATGCCTTTGTCCCTGTGGGAAGCAGTGCTTCAGCAAGGACAATGGGGTTTCATGCCCCAGTATATTAAATCTCTGCGGGCGCAGCCTTGGCTGTACTCAGATGATTTCAAGTAACATGCAATGAAGGGGCCTTTGGGGCCATGAGGGTATTTTTGTGGACTGAAAGTGTACTTCCAGGAGCTAAATTCTATAAATTCACTAAATTCAAATATAAAATTTGTCTAGGACACTGTTAATGTGAATGCTGAAGATACTTATTTACATTTCCAGGTACAAAAGAATGTCTAGTGGATGAAAAGAGTCCAGGAAAAACAGTCTAAGGTAACAGGAGGCAGCTAGATCAAAGTGTCTCAGGAATAAAATTTTAACTACATACATTCAACTGTACTTGTCCTTTAAAAAAAACAAATCCTCCTGAAGTGTTCAGATTTTCTGCTTGCTGTTCAGTCACGCAGCCATGGGCATAAATACATGGGAACTGCCTTGTCGGGGACTGCTGAAAGGCTTTATCTAAGAACAGAACCCGTTCCAGTCTGAGGCAGGGGACCTCAGTTCAGAACATCGAGTAACAAGCGATCTTTAGAAAGAATTTCAGTTGTGTTTGCTTCAGAGTGGTTGACTGCCCTACCTTGCTAAAGGAGAAACCAAGGAATGACAAAAAAAGATGATGACAAAATCTTTCGAATCATTAGCTGTTAAAATGCAAAATATTTATAACCCCTTTGTTGTAGTAACGTGTCAACTTTTAGTAAGCAAAGCCCTGTGCTCAGCCCCACTTCACAAGCATCACATGCTGGGGGGTGAGGGGCAGGGGCTGAAACTGCCATTGAGAAATCACTTTTCCCTTCAGCATTGGTTGTGGTGAGAGGTGTGCACCTAAACTCAGGACGGACATTGCTCTGCCTTCCTAGAAACTTTGCCCACTCATAGGAGGTTCCTGGGAAGAACTGGCTTCCTTCACTGCCTCTGTGACTTTCCTAGTTAAAACGGCACTTGGGATTAGGATTAGCTAGCACTTAACGTGTACATCCAATTTCAGTTGCTTCAGCAGTTCTTCAGTGGTCAAACGGACACTAGGGTCACTGAGCTTCCCAGGATGCCACATTCCAGGCATGGCCCATGGCAAGCAAGCTAGAGCACATCTGGAATTTTTACTGGATGCTTTAAAAACTTATGGAGAAGAAGAAAGTGTGGCTAAAGACCTACCTCCTTTTATGAACCACTCCACAAGGACTGATGCAATACATAAAAAGCACTTGAGCACTTCAGACAAGAAAAATACATAGGCACACGCGCGCTCACCCCTGTGTGGTGTGCTGTGTTATGGCACCAAGCATAAAGCTGAGGACCTGTAGTCTTTCCCCATCCAACTATTATTACAGAATAAAAACCAAGAAAGCCTTGTTCACACCATGCCAAGAAACCCCACACTGCTCAGAAGAGCAGAGCAGCTTTCCGCAGTCAAGCCGACAACATTAACTGATGGTCATAACTCAACAGAGGACTGGCAGAGAAGAGCAAGCCTCGTGGGGGCTTGGCATACTGTTAGCGAGCCGGGCCATGAATGGTGACTCTGCCCCCTTAATAAGCCCCTTCTATTCCACAGATGTGACAATTATCTGGAAGTTTGGCATCTCGTAATTAACTGGAATCAAACCCAGTTGTTCCAAATTTCCTTTTAATTAATTAAATGCAACAGAAAAAGACCAACAATTGCAGTGTTTTGGTTGTGGGGTTGGCTTTTTTGGTTTTTTTTGAGAGGTTTACAAACCTTGAAATAAATGACAGCGATTGTGAAGGCTGAGGCAGGCGTTTCTTTCTGGTGTCCTACAGAAGCCACGCACAAACTGATTTCCTTTAGCACAAGAGGTTTTAGGACACAGCCCTTCGGAAGTGCTCAACTTTCTCTGCAAGTTCCTACTCCTAACAGAGATACGCTGGTAAGAGGAATATTCCCCCTTCAGCTTCGTATTTCCTATCAGATTGAACTGACCTAAACTGTGCTGACACCTGTGTACACACAGCCTCGCTTTTGGCGCTATCGGAACTTGAATCACAAGGACTTACGACACAAAGTACGCTGCAGCCAACTGTGACCTTCCCAGAAGCTGCTGCAGGAATTACCGCCATTCGTCAGCGCCCTGGTCTCAGCTTCGAAATGGCACGCGCCCTCCTCACACCTCTTCAGTTTACAGACCGACAGACTCCTCCTCATCAAAGAGAACAAAATGAGTGAGAAGCAGATTTGATGGAGTTGGCAGGGAAAAGCAGATGTTGATGCTGAGAGGGTCCATGCCCACTTGTGGGAGAGGGAAATGACGAACCGGGGACGCGGCGCCCGAGAGGCCGCCTGGCCTCGGTCACCCGCAGCAGCTGAGGCGGGGCGTGGAGGAGAGAACTTTGCCTCCAGCGGCTTTGTGTTAAAATGCAATTCAAAAGCTTGCTGTTCTGAAATGAAACTGGAAGTATTTATTATGTACTGATGACAGGTATTGTATATGGAGATACATATCCTACATAATTTCTTTCTCTTCAAATCATTTGTACAAGCTCGAATGCTGCAGCGTGCGTTGTAGGCGAGTATCTGCTTTTCTCTGATTAAGGAAAGTACTCAATAATGCACATGCATGGAAGGTCATGAAACTAAAGACTTCCAGTTACCTATTCACACCGCTTTTCTTGATTTTTAGAACAGTATCCAGTTTTCTGTTCCTTTTATACTTGAAAAACACAATTGTGAGACACAGCCATCCCCACCTTCAACAACCTCTAACCGAAATGCTAAGAAGGTGGCGTACACGCATCCCAAATGCATTGCTAGGCAGGGGTGACAATGTTAAAAAACAAGCTAGCACAGGGCTAAGTTACACAACAATTTAAGAGATGGAAGCAGTTATTATTTTCTGCCATATCTGCACAGTAGTCCAGAAACAAAATCCTAGAGTAACCTCATGGCAATTCTCACATTTGCCCAGTTTAAAAGCTGGGTGACACAAAGATATTGATGAAGTTGAAGTTTATGGGACTCACGGAAACTCACAATTGTAACAACGTTAAGGTGTTACCTATTTTACCACTATATTCTGGGAACAAATAACGCTGCTTTTCAGTAGTAACACTGAATGACTGCATCCTCAGAAACAAGTTCTCCGAAGTCATTAGCACGGAAAGCATAGCACTATCATGTAACACATCACGCTTTTTTTTTTTTTAAATTAAGATTGAGGTAAAAATAACTACACTGAGTTGGAAAAAAGAGCATTTGTACCTTTTCATTGTGCCTTTATTGTTTCCAGGTTTGGATGGAGTTAGTCTCCTGTGTGAGCCTTTTCGACCAGAACAGGCCTGGGTATCAACTCGCCGCTGAAAAGCGCCAGGCTTGGTGGACTAAGGCAACTTAAGGAGCCACTGCAGTTGGACCGCTAGTGACTATTCAGTATTAATTCAGTATTTTCTCCATGTACTTGTGCTGAAGTTGGGTAAAGAGTAGAAAAATCTGCAACTCAGTAATGGTATTGCCTTCAGTCTGCCTTTTCTAACAAAACCAACCTCGTAAGTGGGCAGATGTAAGAGAAGTCTTCATACAGCGCAGAACGACACGGGAGAGCAAGAAATGGGGAAGAAACGAGAACCCAAGCTTATTTTATCTGCGTTTGCATCTCAGCGTTCCTTTTGAAGTTCCTGAAGAAATCACTGCTAAAAGATGTTTCTTAGTCTAACAATTTAATTTGTGAGATTAACAAAAGCTCTCCACTGCATCGATTAGACAGACAAGTACCTGAGTGTTACTGCACGCTTAGGGTACAGCTTTAGCAGTCTTGACTCCTGTTACATTAGGCCTCCACATACAGGTCTAATTCGCGAGGTTTTCTTCTTCTTGAGGTGCTTATGGAATAGCTTTCTCAGCTAACTGCCCTGTTTTGTCTCAATACAGCCAGATTTAAAAACTGCCATAAAAAGCATAGTCCTTGAAACGCAGGCCTAAGCGCTACCAAACACTGCACTTTTTCATTCAGGTGTTCTGGAAATCAATTGCTAAAAGAAAACATAGTATCAGAATAGTTATTGAAAAATAAAACTTGATAAAAATAGAAGTTTAAACTGCTGTTTTAATCAATGTTTGTAGCAGATTATCATAACTGTACACCAAATATTAAAGGACTATTTAGGACTAATGCCCTTATTGGTAGGCTCATCTACCAGCACGACCAGAACAGAAGATCAGTGATTCGCTGGCACGCACGTACAGCACAGCTCCAAAGCAGAGGAAATATCAGCATCACAGCACAGAGAAGAACAGCGGTCAGAATATAATACACTGAATTTGCGGAGTCAGTATCCCTGATGATTCTAATAGAAACAGCAACCTAGGTATTGTGAGGTTAATCACTGCTTCTGGACAGAATACAAAATAATCTGCATTTCCAAGAAAAATGAAATGAGTGACTGATAGGAATCAATGTTTCCCAAATTTTCCCACGTATGCTGCAAATTCAGCGGGATCTGCACGAAATATCAGTATCGCCTATTACACAGTTTTTAAAGTGCATTTCATCCGTTTGAGAAAGTAACAAAAAACCGGTTGAACACAGTGACTCACGACCAAAGAACACATTCTCAACAGTGTCATTCACAGCAATGCACGGATCAGTGAAAACCTGTCCTTTCCATTTCCCACTTGTAGACATTCCCGGTCAGGTAAGAGGCGCTGGTCTGCCTACAGACAAGGTTCTCTACCTATCTGACCACTAGGGGAAAAAAAAAGAAAGAAAAAAAGGAAAAAAGTTACACTTGAGAAGTCTGCACGGTTCCTTTATCTCTTCATGAGAATTAGTAGAGTTTTCATCCTAGCAGGGCCAGGTGGTAGCCTCCACCATCTCACAACAGTTTATCTTGCCAATGAGCATGGAGAAAACACGGATTTATTTTCATCAATTCAGCATCCTTATTCACATGCAGATAACAGAAAACAGTCACTTGGATCAACAAATACCAGTCCTGTGTTTCTTGAAAGACTTGTTCAATTGTCCAAATCGGTAACATTCGCATCTGTTTCACAGCATTCTGCTATTTTATGTTTCCTACATCATTTGCAATGCCAACTTATTTACTGTGCACATGTATATCTGCTTAAAAATCAATTTTATTTATCACCAAGGAATTCTTTCACAGATGAATACTTAAATCATCACCCTCTGAAATAATACTTTATTTCTAATACTAGATAGAATTAATATCTCAGTTAAAGAAGTATTGAAATATTCACTATAGTAACAAGGAAGGGAAGATCTGCATGCCAGCAGTACCTGTAATGAAAACGCTGTTTCAGAGTCAATTTGCAGGCATTTGGAGGGCTGGGGGATGACACAACACCGAGTAACACTTGTATGTAACACATGAAGTCAGTCGCCAATGAAATGCAAAAGATCCAGTAATTTAAAAAAAAAAACAAAAAAACAAAAAAACAAGTAGCTACCATCTTGAAAGCTATTGGTAGTGACAGTAACAACGTGATTCTGTGCTACCCACAAATATGGTACCAATATCTAGGGGAACATGTCTAAGTTTCTGCACATCATGTCATGAACTGGAACATCACTGCAAACGCACGGAGGTCAATGCCACTGCAGTACAGGCAAGAGGCCTTACGCAGATTTTTACAATCTGCAGAAGAACAAGGGCCAAGAGCGACAACTAAAACACTGGAGATTTCAGCCGAAATAACAGAAAGATTTATATATAACTGAAATCGGGGGGGGGAAGCAATAAGCAAAGACTAATTTCAGTACATCAGAAGGCATGAAAGATTTATTGCTGAAGCAAAAGTCTGAAAATATGAAGTTGGAGGCGCAGGAATAGAGGTTGCAGCACAGGAGCACTTGAAACCAAAGCAAGACCTTTGTCAGACTAATGAACAATTCGGGAGCTGAAATTCTCAGAAAGAGCAACCGCATCAGAATGAATACACCACAGGCAGAGGACAAAAACTTCTCTTTTTTTCTTTTTTAAAAAAGCAAAGTCAGAAGTATACCCTAACACGGCCAGTCAACCCAGACTGTCCACACCTTTGAATACAAAGGGAGTTCAGATAGCCATGGGTAATCCCATTATTGTTCGTATTCTGTCTGCAAGGAATTCTGTCAAAAAGTAAGAATCTAGTCTGTCCCAAAAATGAAAAATAAAGGATGCCTAAAAAAAAAAAAATTCGCAAAAACTGCCACTTTTTTTTTTTAAATCTTTTAAATCTGAAAGTGATAAAAAAGGAAAAAAATGGGTTGAAGATGTAGGCAGTTTAGAAGCAAAATTTCAGATACCTGAGCAGAAGTTTGAGGCTATATCAGCCAAGACCTCTGAGCAGGTCTTCAAAAGGAAACAGAGTTCTACTCCTAAGTGTAAAGTCATGTTTGCTAAACCATTTTCAAAGATTTATTTTTTCAGCGTGAACAGGGCCTACGATGCAGAAACTTGTTTGCTGTCACAGGGGATGTATATACTTCACTGAAATCTGACAGATTTAAAAAAAAAAAAATTACTTGAACCTGAATGATCAGCATGCAGATCACCAGCATACAAATAAGTTGGGTTTTTTGGGGGTTTGGTTTGTTTGGGGTTTTTTTTTTTTATTTAGTTAAATTGTTTGTTTGTTTTTATTTAACTAAGTTGTTTGTTTGGCTGGTTTTGATAAAGCTGGAGCTTTCTGCTAACCTACTTGGAAGGCTGCATGCTTGGTGCAAACTACAACCTGCAGCTCTTCTCTTTTGCTGTTCTCCAACAGCCGGCACACAGAAGGGGAATGAAAAGCTACGTGATTGTATATGGATGTTCATGAAGCCAGAGAGATTACAGGTGGAAGTTTCTGGATAATCCAGAAAACACAAAGGTAGCTGAGACCACATTTCTCTCAGGCAAGGCTCAGATTCTTACATGAGCCAATTAGTTTTTCAAATCAGAATCTGCTAGAATAATAACTTCCCATGTCACACATGAATCATTTGCTTATGGTGTGAGGGGAAAGCAAGGTCCCTGAGGGTGCAAAACTGGTAGTCATCTTTTAGCCAGCATCAAAGAAAAGAGCAGTAAGACTTAAGGACATATTAGCCACATCCAAGAGACTCATGTTTCTATTGCTTCTCTAATACATAATTATGGCTATGTAGGAGTAATGTCTAGCAATTCAAATATTGATTTAATTACTAATTCCTTGACAGACCTATTTTAGATTTAAACAAATCAGGGCACTCATCTGTTAAGTGGCTGATTTCAGTGTGAGGGCTAAGTACACAGTAGCATTTTGAATTTTAACGAACTACAAGCAAAAAATGTTTGCTTTTTTGAGAAGGGTCTCAGGAAGTTGAATTAGATGTTACCTGGAAATCACATTGTTCTATTGCTACAAATAAAGCCAAAGTGATCACTAAGTGCATCAAAGGTTATAAAGTGGATACGTAAAGTTCCTGAAAGTTGCAAGGAAAAATTAAAAAAAAAAAAAAATTCAAAGATACAGAGGGCTTTGGAAATAACAACAGGCCTAGGATCTTAAGTTTTAAATACGTAGTTGAAGGACAGGCTGTAGGGCAGTTTACTGCTGTTTGTAGCTACCTGAAAAAATAATATCATTCAGATGTGTTTGAACTATACAGTAATATGTTACACAAATTAAATAAGTTAAGTGACAGAGGTTTTGCTATTACCACATCAGATGCTAGCTAGCCTTGAAATCCTCTTCCCTCAGAACACAGCTTAAGAGAATTCAAGCGTTCCATGGGCAGGGAGAGAGGAGAACGGTTAACTTGGACACCACTGTTATTTCCTTAACAACTCTTGCTTCCAAACTGGGACTCATGAGGAATCTTCCTACTAGACACACTGTCAAGTATCTTTATTGCCTGGCACTATCAGCATAAGGAGCAATTCAAATCCAAATGTGTCTCAGCAAATTACAGGTCACTGCCAAAGTTGAGGCCTTTATAGCTTGACAAGTAACCACTTAAATATTCTTTGATTTTAGTCAGATAACTGATTTAAACTGAGGGGGTGGTGGTGGTGGTTGGGTTTTTTTAACATGAAATGGAACTGTTTTAACTGTGGCTTGAGCAGGAGGAGGAGGTAAGCGTAGCAGGGAGTTTGCTCCCTTGCACCAGCTCATCTCGAGAGATGCCCACAGCTACTGGCAGCGCTCCAGGAGCCCACAGGGCGCCCCACTGTCCCCCACAGCACGGGATGGAGCCTCACTGCTCCACATGAGCATCTGACAGCAGAAGGCTGGGGAGTGCCTTTAGTGAGCAGCTGTAAGGAATCCTGTGAAGGGAGGACCGATTTTGCATTCTGACTAATCTTGATTTACAAAGAATGCCTCAGCTCTACCTCAGTTCGCTACAGCTCCTCAGCCCACAACGGCGTAAGGGCATCCTATGCATTAGTGCAGGTAGAAACATAACCATTTAGAGAGGCAGTTCAACTGAATTTTTTTTGCAGACCCAAAAATAAAACCAATCTGTTATTATGAACCTTTATTAAGTGGCTCACATTTCAGTATAAATCACACTAAAAAGATTTTTAAAAAAGATATTTACACTACAGTGCTGACACATTTAAAATGAAAAAATTGGTATAAATAAGCTCTATGGAAAAGCCTGGAATTGTCAAAAAGAATTCTGGCTCATCTTACAAAAAATATATATGTTAAATGTCAGCTCTACTCTAAAACCTACAACTCAAAATTATTTAAAGACTTCTTTATGTTAAACCTGCAGTGTTTACAGTGCATCTGGCCCTAAGTGCTTTGATACTTCACAGTTATGGACAGGCACTGAGGAATGTTACAAAGCTACATAACTATTTTCTGTAACAGATGCGGAGGCAAGTCACAAACTTGCCTCACAATTTATGAATCTTTACATTATTACATCATTAAGTTTAAAAAGGAATTTAAAACCATATATACAAATTCAGCACAAAAAATCATCCTCTCTTTGTCCATGCAGTTTTGGATATGATGAACTATGTTGTCTTGTATCATCTGGATGCACGTGACCTCCAGGGCACAACTTGCCTTGTAAGTCCTTGTTGCCAGGTTCAAATTTAGAATCCATTTCCAACTTAAATGCCGTCAATTCGATGTGATCCAATCTAGTCTGAACATTCTGGGCCCCGACGTCATTAAGTGCCACTGTCTTTTCAGCAAGATCAACATTCATGGGTTCTTCTTTCATTCGGTGAGATGCAATAGGTTCATGTTTTATGAGGTATTTTTGCTCATCGTACAAATTCTGCTGTCAGTCTGAAGTCCAGTAACCGAAGACTTGGGGTCTGCAGAGGTCCCTGCTTCAACAGTACTTGTATTTTGAGAAAGTTCTTCCTCTGAATGATATAGCTTGAGACGGATGTGCCAAGCCAAACTGCACACAGCTGAAACTGTTTTGAACTGGTGCACAACATTCCTTGGGATAAAATAAATGTCATTATCGAATAACTGAATTCTGGCATATCGAATGCCTTCCCTTCGCAGTTGATTAAGTTTTGCATCGTCAACCCACTGGACACACTGGAGGAAAAAATTAATTAAAAAAAAGGGTGAAAACTCTGATTTAGGACTTGGAGGACACCTGACCAACAGCTCATAGCGTGCTTACCTGTGAGAGTGGAGGCTCATGCAAATCTAATTGCATTCGCTGAACTACCTCTAAGAAGTCTTCCGCATGAAAACAAATTACATCTTTGGTTATACGAGGCTGCTCAGACCTACAGAAGAGTAAGAATTGCACCAGTCAGAGGCTGAAACTAACGTGCTACAAAGAATAATAAAGAAAATCTGCAAGAAAGGATAAAACAAATGGTAGAAAAAGCAACAGTTCTAGCATAACCTACATGTTTGGAAAAAAGGTCGAGTAAAATGTCTAATTCTCAAACACTACCTCATTAATTGGTTAAATGAATTAACCACAGTTTCTTTACAAATGGCAGTAATGACAGCAATGAAAGGTGAACAAAACTCACTATTTCTAGTTTTTGTTTTTAACTGACCTCCGTCTGCCTTGATGCTGAAAGACAGATGCCCCAGACATCTGGCTTACTCTGCCAACACTAACATGATACGCCCCTCAGGCACCTCAAAGCAGGCAGCAGTTTGACTAGCAGTATGGCAACCACTGGTTAGTACCTGAGCCTCAAGCACCTTGTTCAGAGTTAGTAGTAAAGCTGAACCTACATTAAGCTGCCACAATGCTACTAAGCAAAACCAACTACGATCCTTATCACTTTTGAGCTAAAAGCCAAACTCAGTTGTTCGACAGACACGTGTACAATTAAGCTCCATGTGTTTGGTTTTGAGGGACATTTGGATTTTAAAAGGGTTTTTTTAAAGTGTGCCGATATGAAGGTTTAGTTTACATAGGAGACAGCTCGCAGTGGAGCAGTTTTGCAAGGAAAATTTATCAGCCAGCAAGAGCCTGGCTGATGACCTTCTTCCCCCATCCCCTGCAGAGTCCTCCCAGGGTGACCGGGGTGCAACGCCTTCCCCATAGCTGGCTGCTGTGCATAACCGCACACAGGGCGTGCATCTGGGCCCTGCCGAAAGGGGCCTGGGACAAGCGGGTGCCCTCCTCCCCCTCTGGCACCCACAGGGCCAGGCTGGCTCCTGCCACCCCCAGTGGGCAGCCATCCCCAGTGCCCCATTCCTGCCACCTCCACCCCTGCAAATGGGGCCACAAGGCCGGATTTACTGGGGCCAGGAGAGGAACTGATGCAGCAGAACAGACTGATGTGTTTCAGAATTTAACAGATGTTCAAGCACTCTTTTTTAAAAGCAAGATGATAATAAATTTTTGTGTGTATATATATAAATGGTGTTATTAACATTCTAAGAAGCCAGCAATGACATACACTTTATCAGGCTTTTTAAATTGACAAGACATGTTTATTTTATTTAGGTCATGACCTCAATAAAGTAAAAAAACAGTTTGAGGCCATTTTCAGGGGGGTAAAATCCCAGATCAGCTACTGAAAGTACGCTAGGGAGAATTTTCAGACCACATATTTTACTATCAATTTTACAAAGATTAAAATGTGTCTCTATTTCAGTCTATATACTCCTGAAGAAGACTTATGCACTGAACGCCAAAAGCTTACAGAAACTTCTCTACTCAGTGACATTAAAAAAATTAGCTACATTAATCTACTTTTTATAATGCAGTTATGTTTTCTACTTTAAGAATATGTATTTGCATCTGGAGTCAACAATATTTGTAAATGGAGTTAAGAATTAAAAGTAATACAAAGAGTATTTGTACACTAAAAGAACTTCAATCCAGAGCAACGTTTTCACAGCAGTGTCTGTTCCATGCGTTATATGGAACAAAGTATAATTAATAATTTGTTTAAATAATTCCTTTTCTCAGCCCCTGTATATATGTGCAACAGTATGCATTACCAAATCCACGTTGCAATTCTACCACAAACCATGACACTCCTTTTGCAAACACAGAAAAATTACTGCCAGATCATTTTTAATTCTGCATTTGCAGATTTTATATTTAGCACAAGTTTTAGGTTATATTTTGTAAAACCTAAAGTTTAGGGGGGTCCCTCCCCCCTCCCTCCCAAGCAAAACAGTAGGATAGTTCAGTTATATGTCCAAAAAGACATTAAATCCAAACAGAGCTATAAGGTGACTTCAGAAAAATCCATTTAAGTCCCTACTAGAGCACTGCTAGAACTATTTTTGGCAATAATTTTTTTCCTAACCTCATTCTTCAAAAGGGCTGGGCTCTTTTTGCTGTAACTTTTCGAAACAGATTCAAGATTACAGGTTTTACCATGAATATTTCTGACCTAATGCATAAAGTCTGGCGATACATAACAAATTCCTGGAAAAGCACTAAGTTCATGTTCTGGAACACAAACTTGAAAGCTGCTTGCTGAAGTGCAGGACAGAGATACTTAATTTTGCCAACAATGCCATAAAGTATTTTTTGCTGCCCCTGTAAAAACCCACCCAAATTTCCCATGTACAAGTTTTCAAACTTTACACAATTTGAAATTTTACCAGCATTTCTTAAGTTCTAAAGCATGCTTGGTATTACCTACAAAAATGGCATTAAGTAATCAGCATGATCACACTACTATCAGACTTCAATGCAGTGCAGTCTTGAAAATGTTTGCTAGCAATAGCCAGAGCTCTTCTACAATTCATAAATATTCAAGGAAATAAGATCATAATCCATAAATTTTTACAAAGCATCTCAAATCAAGAGCTGTCACATTTGAGAAAGCAAAAATTTTTTTTTTAGTCTTCCAAATACTACGTTTTGTTTCCAGTTCTGTCCTCTATCCCCAACAATGCTTTCTGCCTTTCAATGGTACGGTTCCTGTCTGTTCTGAAAGACACCAGTTATTCTACCTAACGTTAACATTCATGCCTATCAACTACTAAATCTACAGCAACTTCTTGATTACAAGAAGCTTTTTTTGCACACCCTATTAATTTTTATACTAACTGAACATAAACTAACAACTCAGTTCAGCAAGTGTAACAATTACTTTATTTTCTCCTCAAAGAAAACAAGGATTTTATATAAGGTATCTCATCATTAAAACATGTGCATTTTTACGGCCATAGTGCCCTAATCATCCCTGGAGTACCTCCAACTTTCAGTTTTGTTCAACTAATCAAACAGATTAAAAAAACAACCAGAGATTTTTTTCAAAATTTTCATGCATGTTGTTTCCTTCAAAATAAATCTACCCACAGCTGACAAATTATGGTAAAGCTAATATCTGAAATTATTATAATATGCTGCATTAATTAATGATGCTTCATTATCATAAGCCCTGATTAGTTCTCTTCATGTAAGTACTGTGAAGTGGCTTTTCAAAATTACACAAAAAAGTAGAAAGGGAAAGGAGAAATTATCACTGAGGTCAAATCACGCTTGAAATAAATAACTTTTATTGTGTTATGTATTTTCTTCTACATATGTCAGTCCCAAATTTTTTGTTCTGCATTAAAAGATACATTTTCAGACCCAACTGAAGTGAAACACCGATAGTTATTCCCCCTCTGCCAAAACTGAAATACTTTCAAGTTTGTTGGGCAATTTTGCCTATTTTCAGGTCACTTTTTAATCTACGCAGTTTTTATTTTGACTAATTCCATTCCTGTTTCCAAGTTTAAAAGGAGTTTTAAGGGAGGTTGAATAGACTACCCTTTTCCATAATTTCCAAGGTATGAGAGAAGATAATTGTTTACATCTGAAAAACAAGAACACTTATTTTTAGAATGTAAACCAATGTGTAATGATTTCCAAGGGAGGTGGATCTTGTCATGAAGGTATAGGGTGAGAAGGGGAAGTTCCCACAGACATTCAAATTACTACCAATTTAAATTCTTCTTAATGTCCACAGGCACGCAAGTTTCGGCTGGAGTGGGGGGTTTGGTTTTGGGGTTTTTTTTTTGTTGGGGGGTCATTTGTTTTGGGGTGGTTTGTTTTTTTTTTTTTTACTTTCTTTGATAAAGCTTTGAGTGTGTCTCTCATATATGCAAAGTGTAATCTAAAATAATCGTATCTACACAGTATCTCAGCTCTTGCCCTGCTACCACTGCTCAGTTTTAATTCACTCCGGCTTCTCATCGAGCAAGCAGGACATTTAAAGCTCCAACTATTATTATCCTGAAGAGGAAGTAAATTGCAAAACCTCAGAGCCCAAAATAAAAACAACATTAACATCTGAACAATCCAGTTCTTCCCCAACAGCAATTATTCAATTTTCTATCTCAATGAACTCATGCACTGTAACACAAATTTGCATAATTTCATCCAAATGGAATTCACTCTTCTAAATTCTAGACAGATACAAAGAGCAAAAGGTGGCTTTAGCATTTACATATGCAAAGGTAACCTCCAAAACTAAGGTCATCCTCCCAACCCAAGGTCAGAAGATCCTGAAAAATGCTTCCTAGATCTGGGCCAGGAAGCCCATATGATTATGGGCTTTTTATTTGGCTAAAATGTAAACAGCTTCAAATGAGACACAATCATTTCCTGAATCTCGTATGGGAATTCTAAAAGACAGAAACCAAAGAAAACCACACACCCTTCAACAGAATTCTTCCTAGGTGATCTACCGTAAATAAATCAGGGTTTTAATGGCCATGATTTTGTAGCAGAAGCATAAAAATTCTGCTCATTTCCAGACAACACAAAGAACTGCCAAAAGGTCTTCATGTGCACCTCTGAGGCTGAAACTCAGGTCAGTCCGTATGCACTATTTAAAGCAAAACATCGTGTGAACTGTTTTCACATCTACCATTAACTCAAGTTACAGCAACTCAACTATAGCTATTGAACTGCCATCACGAGGCACCTTTCCAGTTTCAACCACACAGCAAAATTGTACCCAGTCTAGCAGAAGACAGACAAGCATACCCAGTGCACAGAGATAGAAGGGGTGGGGGGAAGAGTCCAGTAGCTACTAAGTCTTCATTAAATAAATATCTAATACTAGATTAACCTATTCTGTGCTCCTTCTACCAACTATAAGTGGGAATTCAGGCAAGTATTTTTCAAACAGTTAGTTGAGTAAGTCAATCGATACATACCACTCGCCACAGTGCACAGCCTTCAGTACTCCCACAGCAGCTGTAGTCTGTCGTTCAAAACCTTGTCCTATGTGATCTGCATGGGCTCGTGTCCGGTCTTCAAATAGCATTTCACGGGGTTCGCTGGTTCGAGGTAGGTACTGCAAGTTTTTTATTTCATTGGTAGTTCTGTACAAGAAAATCAGTATTAGCAATACAGAAATTTCTCTTAATTACTTAATTCCCACCATAGCTAATAGCATTGCTTTTCTCCCTTCAGTGAGAGCATCCAGTCAAGTGAGAAAAACAGTAATACTCAGGACGAATTAGAAATGTAAGGAGTTATACAAAAAAATCAGAACATCTATGCAATTAAAAAAAAGCCCCAAACAAAACCAAAACCAACAACACAGTGTCAGGGCCCTGAGTGAGCTAAAAGGCCCTAATGACTGAGCAGCCTCACCTGCCGTCTCCACCTACACACCTGGACAAAGAGCCCAGCAGCTCTATTTAAGCTTAGGCCTAGGCCTTCAGTCCTGGCCTAAGGCATGCTGCAAGGAGCACTGGTTTTCACCTCAGCCAGAGGTGTGCTGGACCACAGACTTGCTTCCCAGCTTTACCTCTGGAGAGCGTTATCATGATGGACTTCCCTGGCAGTCATTGGAACTGATCCGCACAGGCAGACTGACTTCCTTGGCTTGACCTCAGACCTGCCCCCATCACCACACACTGGCCTGAGGCACTGGAGCCTGGGATGAATTTGGTCCCCAAACCCCAGGTCTGCCCTATCTGCCTCCCTCAGGCACTGTCAGACCAGGCCCTACCATGATCAGCCCCTAGCAGGGAACTGCCAGCCTTTGCTACTTCTTAGTTGTTCAACATACATTTCAATTGTCCCTGAAGTCATTCTTCATCATTTATGTTTCTACCAAACCGCTGGGAAATTTGTATGTATATTTAGTTCTGTGTTGTAGAACTGAGAATGAGAAGCAGCAAAAGATTATTTCTTCAGGGTTTAATGAAATTGAAGGGAACACTGCAAGAGGAAGAACAGAGCCATGAGACCATTTTCTTGGCCACGTGGGAGCCAACAGCATGTGCCACACTTTTCCAAGAGCTATTTATAATCATAACATAGCCAAGGTTGGAAGGGACACCTGGAGACTGTGTAGTCCAGCTTCCCCCACTCAACTAGAGCAGGTTGCTCAGAACTGTGTCCAGTCAAGTTCGGAACAACTCCAGAGATGGAAACTCCACAAGCTCTCTGGGCAACCTATCCTAGTGTTCAACCATCCACACAGTAAACTTTTTTCCCCTCCCTTATTTTAAGTGGAACTTCTTGTAATTCAGACATGATACTCCAGATGTGTCTCACCAGCGAGAAGCAGAGGGGAAGAATCGCCTCCCTCAACCTGCTGGCAGCGCTCTTCCTAAGGCTGTTGGGAGGCTGCTGGCCCCCTTCACCACAGAGGCTCGCCAAGCTGTATTCCACTGGGACCCCCAAGTCCTTCTCTGTCGGGCGCTGCCCGGCCAGTTGGTGCTCAGCCTGTACTGGTGCACAGAGTTATTCCTCCCAGGTGCAGGGCTTTGCACATCCCAGTGTTAACTTCATGAGGCTTCTCCGGCCCCGTTCCACCCAGCCTCTCAAGGCCCCTCTCACTGGCAGCACAACCCTCTGGTGCATCAACCACTCCTTCCAGTTTTGTATCGCCTCCAAACTTGCTGAGGGTGTGCTCTGTCCCATGATGCCAGCCATTAACACAGGTGTTGAAGGGTACTGATGCAAGGTTTCAATGTGTGGGTTACTCAAGTAGTGATTGTCCTCTATCTGTCCATCCTTTGTGCTGCTGATCACAATCCTTTAAGCACAGCACTTAAGCCAGTTCTTGAACCACTTCACAGTCCATCAGTCTAGTTTGTCCTTCCTTAATTTGTCTACTAGGATGTTTTATGGGACACAGGTGTCCAGTGGGGAATGCCTTGCTAAATTCAAGATAAACAAAACCCCTGGCACTCCTCTCATCCTGTTAGCCAGTCATTTTGTTTTAGAATGCTATCAGGTGGGCAAGGCATGGTTTCCCCTTTGTAAAACAATACTAGCCTCACCCAACGATCATCTTGTCCCTCATGTTTGAAATGGCATCCTTCCCAGGATGAAGGTGAGGCTAACTGGCCCGCAGTTCCCCTGATTCTGTGCCACTGAAGGCAAGCAGTCCGTGCTCCAGACATTCCTACTGTCTCTGGGACCTTGCATTCCTGAAGGTAAATCTCAACAGTAAAGACAAGGGCAAAGAAAGCACTGAGTATCTTGGCCTTTTCTGTGTCCTTTGTCTCCTGGCCCTTTGACCAGTTCAGCAGACGCCTTAGATTTTCCCTGGTCTTTCTTTCGCTGTCCACATGCCTGTGGAAGTCCTTGTTGCCCTTCACATCCATTGCCAAATTCAACTCCAGATGGTATTTGGCTTTAACTGCATCCCCCTTCATGGCCAGAAAGCATCTCTGTACTTCTTCCAAGCACCTGACCCTGCTTCCACTTCTTGTATGCTCCCTTTTTATGTTTGAATTTGGAACAAGAGAACTCCAAAGACATGATTTCTCATGACACATAATACTCAAGTACTGCAGAGGACATCCCTACTCTTAAGCGGGTACTTATACCCAGTACCACGGCAAAGGATAAAGACGTCATTTAATGTTGGAGGTGTTACCTTTCAGATGAGAAAGAAGCACTTGTCCCTTGAGGTCTTTAAACATCCACTTACATTTAAGAACAGGGGTATTAATTCCAGTCTCTTGGCATACATCAGTAGTTGTATGCCTGTTCACATTTCCCTGCAGTTTTCACCTTAAATTCCTAAGAAAGCTCCAAACAGGACCAACACCTTGCTTGGCCAGATCATAGATTTTTTTTTTTTTTTTTTTTTTTAAAAACCCACATCTTTACAAAGCAAAGCAAATTAGAAGTGTATTTTGAGACAAGGATTTACAGAAATTTATACTAAGATATAGTATGAACCAGTACAAGGTTTGGGATAAAATTAATTTGTAGAGAAAGAATATTAACCAGACATTTATCAAGCAAAATAATTCAACATACCTCTTCCTTTTGAAAGGTGACTTTGGCATGTCAGCCACAGGGATCATCTGTTCTCCTGGACGTACCCACATAATGGGACCATCATCACTGTCTTTACGACTCTCTAATTTTAAACTAGAAAGTGTTCCCCATGGCAGTGTACACTAATGGGAAATACAAGCCACAATTTTGAAGTGAGTTACTTTAAAAACTTTTTAAAAGCAACCTTTATCTGTCATGATGAAAACGTTTATTAGACCACTCAATTATCTAAGCAAGCATCACATAATCTCACTCTATTACAACAGAACTAAACAGTATATTGTTGCCCTTCTCCCAACCCATCCCCTTCTGTCCTTACTTTTAAGAAGGGTGATTCTTCCAACATATCAAGGAATTCAGGGAAGTAATCCCCCACTTCCTCATCAACTGCTCCAACCAGGCTGATCTGTCTCATTGGGCCAGCTCTATAAGTACCATGAGAGTATGTTCTTTTTACCTACGAGTAGAATATGACAGCAAAAGTTATACCAAGTCCACTACTGCTCAAAGTCTACATTCAATAAACACCTTTAATCTCTATGGCTTGTTTTCTGATTGATATTAGCCCTATAGTCTTCAGTATACTTAAGAATATTATGAAGTCAATTACTATGAACTCAAAGACCGTTCTTATTAAAGATACATGACAATTTTTATTTTATTTATTTTAAAGTCTGAAGGTAAGATTGAGTAACTATTTATTGCCTTTGAAGAAAGTAACATTCCAAGGTAGTTACTGTGAAAAACTATTAGCATATCCTTTGCTCAATAACTAGTAAGTAAGGATTCTTACCTGGATTACTCAAGTCTAGCTGAACTTTTACCTTTTTCCTGTAACAGTTAGGCAGAACCCTGAGTTACAACTAATTAAACTCTTAATTTTTCCTCTGCTGATCATCACCAGTATGGCCTCTGTGTGAGCACATTAACTGGAGCTAATTACCACAGTGAAAACAAGGCTCATAAAGAGTACATGAAGAGAGCAAGTGGCCGTTAGGCCTTCCATTTTTGCTGTGCTAACACGTCTTGTGCTCCGTTAAAGTTTTAAAGGGCTGTAACATTCACCTCATGAAAAACCCTTTATTTTGAACTTAAACAGAAACACTTTCTTATAACTTTTTTTTTTCTCCAATAATTTAATCTGTCATGTTACATCAACAAAATGCCTAGGCATGAGATTGATGAGGATTGCTTCCCCTTAAGCTTCTGATCTCCTATTTAGCAGGTTGAGAGACACAGTGGTATTATGAGATGAAATACAACCAGATCAGAACAGAGGGAAGAGCAGATGGATTACTGCACAAACCAAGTAAGGCTCTTGCACTGCATCCTTAGACATTCTGCATCCAAAGCAAGAAAAGAAAAAAGGTGCAAGGAAGACAGTTAATGAAGTAATGTGTAGCTATGGGCCTCACCCAAGCAGACTATTAAAATTCCTAGTAATTATGGCCGTGCAGAGGAGAATTAGCAGCAGTTCCTGAAAACAGGACTAAATCATACAACATGGAACAATACTGTGCCCCTCAGAAGATAAGACTGATGTGGTCAGATGCGTTCCAGAAACACAGAACCAGATACTCTTCTTCAGATCAATCTCCGTCATCACGCACACCCAGAAGATGGAAGACTGACTAAAAGTAGGATTTTACAAAATCTCTGAGCTAATGTAATGGCAAACCATCACAGCCATACTGAAGAGAGCAATACTGCTAGACAGTAGTATAGTCCTGTTCCCCAAATCCTTAGTCACACATTCCTGTATGGACAGCTGGTGATTTTGTGATAAAACATCAGAAAACATTAGTTTCTGCTGAATCTGCACCAGCCCAGCCCTCAGCTGTACCTGCACTGGCACAAAGCATCAGGAGCTCACACAACTAAAGCACTGGCAGCACAAGAAAGGGACACTCACTTGTCATTATTAGCTTACTGGACAGACCAATTCCAAAGTACCCTAAAACCACTTTCTAAAGCTACATATAGCCGTAAGTCTGTTACTCACAGTTTACTGATAAACCTAACATGCAAATGGATGTTTCTTCCACTGGCACAAGTAGTTTAGTATTCTACCATTCCAGGCCAGGATATTAAGCTGCCCAGGGAAGTAGCTGAGTCCCCATGCCTGGAAGTATTTAAAAGATGTCCAGATGTGGTGCTTAGGGACATGGTTTAGTGATAGACTTGGAACTGTTAGATTAACAGTTGGACTCAATCTTAAAGGTCCTTTTCAACCTAAATGATTCTGTGATTCACACAGCACAGGATAAACTAGTTGTGGAACTACTCCAGCTGAAAACTACAACTTCCCAAAAAAATACTAACTGAAGTGAAGTTAGGAGAAGCTGTGAAGCTTTCAACTGATCACACTCACCATTCTGGCTTATGTACCACTAGGTGTTGGCAGTAGAGCATAAAGCTAGAAGAAGTGCTCAAGTGCAACATAATCCTCACTTAACGTGGATCAATTAAGAAATTGCTTATATATTGCCAAAAAGACCATGTCACTGAAAGTTAAAATTGAAAGATCAACTCGGCTTTTTTAAGCATTCTTTGTCCATCCCAATTCACTCCTAGCTCTCCTGATCAATTATGGTCCCCTCATTCACCAAGCAGAACAGATTCCTTTTCAAGATCCAGTTTGCGAAAGGTGAAATACCAAAAATAATGCTAACATAATGTTAAAGTTACAAATGATGAGTGATTTCTTCTGTGACCATATTGAGAGTCATATCATTGCAAATACAGAGAAAGAAGTGTTTGAGTGTTGAAGAACTCTGTGGTGGGCTAACCCCAGGCAGCAGCTAAGAACCTCACAACCCCTTGCTCGCTCACCCACTCCTCAACGGTGAGAGACGTGGGAGAGAACAGGAAAAACAAGGAAATGCATGGGTCCAGATAAAGGTAGTTTAATAAGAAAAGAAAAGAGGAAAAAACACCAAGTGGTGTTTTTCACTACCCACTACCTCCCACAAGCAGACTGACAACCAACCAGTCTCTGAGCCATAGCTACCTTCCAGACCAACACACATCCCTGCCCCAGCCCCCCTCAGCTTTTTATTGCTGAGCATGATGTTATATGGCATGGAACATATCCCTGCTGTCAGTTTGGGTCAGCTGTCCCAGCCATGTCCCCTCCCAACTTCTTGCCCACCCCAGCCTACTCACCAGGGGTACAGAATGGGGAAGAAGAGAAAGCCTTGACGCTGTGCAAGTGCTGCTCAGCAACAGCCAAAACAGCAGCGTGTTATCAACAGTTTTAGTCACAAATCCAAAACACAGCCCCATAATAAGCTGCTATGAAGAAAATTAATTGCAACCCATCCAGACCCAGTATAAACAGAAAATGAATCCATGCTGGCGATGAAAGGGGAAGATCTGCTATCTCCTTTTCCCTTCTTTCCTGCTAGCAGTAGGTCTTCCAAAGGTGGAACAGGGAGCCAGCTTGGGGAACTGATGTTATTTTAATCCACAAATTACCTGAAGAATGTATTTACTTACTTTAGAAAATTATATAAATAAGAATTAAATAAAGACATGGGTCACAAAGACTAATTCCTGTCCAGAAAGAACAAGAGGGAATCTGGAAGAGAAGGCAGCTGTTGGCAGTGAAAAGTGACTCCTACCTCGTCTTTTCCATGGACTATAGCATCCTAAACTCTAGACTCAGGTCAGGGGTTCCCATTTAATGACACGATCTTAGATTAGGCTAAAGAATTGGAAAAACGTATGTAAAAAAGGTGAGGTCATTCTTAGAGAGAAGAACTAGCTAGCAAACAAAATTAATTTTCACTCATCACTCCAAAATCAGACTGCTACTAAGTAATAGTGTGGAAACAGTAAAAACCTTCCATTGATGTTTGACCAATGACAAAAGTAACATTAATCCTCTTAAAAGACAATAACAAAATAATCTACAGCATATTAGGTAACAGCAACATTTCCCTTCCCTTGTACTGTCAGTATCCTTTGGCTGGTTGGTTCACAGGAAGAGAAGATGACTCCTTTATTTCTAAACTCACAAAAACAATGCTGATGTACTAAAACCAGTACTATTTCATCAAATTCTACACATTAAGTTATGCACTGACCACAAATCATACATCTTTTATAGGGTAATCTTCCTGAATTTAATTTTACAGGTTACAATGTGACTATGTTTTTAGAATGTTACAAATTTTCTAAAATAAACAGCTGAAACAATCTAAATCCAGAATAAAAGAAGGAATCAGTTCTTCTAGCATGTGGTCAACATGATCAGAATCAATACACACACACACACACAAATCACCAATTAAGTGCAGTATAATACGATGGACAGATAAAACAGAAGCATATAACCGCATAAATACAACATAGCCTAACTTCTTTCTTCTCATGTAGCTTAAGTTTGAAGTATGTCACCTAAAAACATGCAAAAGGAGACTGTGTCATTCTCTCGCAACAAGGTAATGGAAAATTATGACAGTGAAACCAACACTGAATTCAGAATTAGTAAACCTTGAGAATTAACAGCTTCTGTGACAAGTATGACATCAACTGACTTTTTTAATGTAACTTAACTTGCTCAGTTTTAAGTAAGGAGTTCTAAAAAGCAAGTGTTTTGACATAAACATCTCTGTGTCTAAAAGAATCTGAAGACTAAAACTGAATATATGTATGATACTGACAATAATATATTTGACCATTATCATCCTACAAATAAGAAACATTTTAAACACTGTTATGTTAAAGGTGTTTCCATTTTCTATTTGAAAAAGACACAAACTGGAAGGAACAGTGTAGAGAAAGCAAGCATTTCAAGAGACTAATTTAAAAAATGTAAACTGGGGCAAGTCACAACTTAATTCCTGGGGAGTATGGGGAGCATTCAGTTTAAGTTCTCACATTTTGCTGCGAGAATTTTAAAGGTTTAATTTCTTTCGGTTAATACCAGGAAGTCTGGAAAAGCTGTCGTCAAAAGAAACCCAAACAAACAAACCACTGAACCCAAAATAATTTCAAGAAGCCCACAAAGAAAGCCCCACCAGAGACGAATAATGAAACAACAAAAACATTAAATCACCATAAAAATATGCCGGGAGATCAGAGGGAACAGTGGGTTTCCATTTCACTACACAAGTGCACAAGCTGTGCACTTACACACTTGTATCTTTAGAACTGAAACCATCCAGCTTCCATTCACTCTTATTCCTCTAAATCCGTTACCTCAAACACTATAGTCATGAGGAGACAATGTAGCATTTCTTATTTGGTACATTTTGAAAAAGTGGCCAAAAGGTTTTCTGTTCCTTGCCAAGTCTTTTCAAATCCTTAAATGCTTATGTATATTTTTAGTTCCAAATGGGAACTGATACTGAAGCATCAAAATTTCATCAAACAAATATTCATCAAAATTGCTCTGAGTTTAAAAATGCTTACAAATCCGCTTGGCTACTTTTGACTTTCAAACCACATGTA